TGACCTGAGCCGAAGGCAGACGCTTAACGACTGAGCCACCCAGGTGCCCCGATATTGTTACTCTTAATGATTAAGAATAACTTGTATGAAATAGAGAATTGGGTATTCATTTCTGAGATATCAAAGCTAATAAATATATGGCAGAATCATGTGTCAGACATTGACTGGCTTGGGGTTAATCTTGATTGTCATAATACATCTGATGAAACTTTATCTAGGGCCCTTTTCTGTTGTACTTTGGAACCCAAATGTTTAAAAGTATTGTTTAAAAGTGCCTAACATTTCCCCAGAGGAGTTTTTGAAACTGTTTTTCTAGTGGAAAATTTAATTGATGAAGTCATAGGATTTTTGAGATATGATGTTGCAGGGTAATGGGTCTGTTGCATATAGCGGGTGGTTGTTGGTTAGTCTGGACACCAGCCCTTAATCTCATTTACTATGAACCATGGGGAAATTACATAGCTTTTCTATGCTTTACTCTTCTGTAGAAAGGGCCTACTATAGGCCCCTTACTAGTGTATGTAAGGAATATAGATGACTTGAGCTTTAAAACCTCTTCTAGAAAGGCTCCACGAAAATCGGGCTGTTAGGACAAAGATTGCTATTGCTGCTATTTGTAATAACATTACCATCATTATTAGATTTTAGATTCTGGGAAGAGGTGGTAACTTTTTAGTAAAACAAATCTTCCTAGGCTGTGAATTAATAATTTATATATTTGAAGGCCCTGGAAGTGACGATTTTATCTTTTTTTTTTTTTTTTTTTTAATTTTTGGGACAAAAGGTTCTCAGAGTTAAATGAATTGGATGTAGAGAATAATATTTTCTTCCATGTAAATAAAAGCTCTGTGACTTCGGAGCCTCTTGGTTTTTCTGAGAATTAAGTTCTCATTTTCTTTGAGGACTGTGACAAAGGGAAAGTCTGTGGTTCTGTCAGTGTGTTATTCCTTCTATAGAGCTTCTTCAGCTGGATGCCCTTTCTATTTTTCTACCAAGGCTGTAAGCTCCTCTTTTTTTTTAATTTAATTTTTAAAATTTAATTTAATTTTATTACCCAGGGCCCAGCCTCGGGACTAATGCAAAATGCCATTCTATATATGTTTAAACCACACAGTCCTGTGAGCGGTGGGGTGGGGATTCTAGAGGAGTGACTGAGTACAAAAGGCATGATATAACTGTCACTGGGATGGCAAGTTTTAGTAGGGAATGGTGAGAGGGGAGGCTGAAGACAAGATTGGTGCTTGATTTTAGAAGTCCTTGGTGGCAGTAAGCATTATTATTTATTTTTTTTATTTTCTTTGTCTCCCACATAAAAACTTAAAATCATCCTGTTATCACAAAGGGGGAAATCTGTTCTGCAGACTTGGGGAACTAAACAAGTACTATTCCAATATTTAGTGCTTCTCTTCCTCTTGAACTACATTCTTGCATGCATGCTGAGGTCTGAATATGTCTGTCAGGATTTGTAGATAGAGACTCTTCTGTGGGCTGCTACAGAGGGAACCATAGACAGTATGTTTATTTTATTGGGGCATATTTTTAATTGGACTATTAATGTCAGCAAGCCCTTGATGGAGTCCCTGTCAACTCTTAGGTCTTCTAAAGGGCACTGAAATTGTTGATATTAATGGAGAATGCAAATTTCCTTTTGGAAGTAAAATTTTAATTCTGATTTAAAGAATTTATTTCTCAAAGACATGAATAAAGTAAGAAACTGGACCTCATGTGGAAAAACTTTTACCCTCTGGGTATCTGAGTTGAACTTCTTGACTTAAATCTTCACATTCTAATACATTTGGCATTTACAACCTCTGTCCATATCACGAAACCATCAGGCAGTCTGATATTTATGGGTTATGTACTCTAGAGTAATTCCAGACCGAGTTTTTGTAGTAGTGGTAAGATTATGAAACAAAGTAGCAAAGAAGAAATTTAACATAGCTGTGACCTAATTTGAGGTAAAACTTTGATGTGTTCATATTCGACCTCTAGTTGCTTATTTCTTTAAAAAAATTATTCTGGTTTTGCACCAGTTTGAAGGATATAGCTAATGAAGACATTTCTTATATAGTTTTGTGTCACATATTTTTTCTCATTCAGAATATTTTACATCTGTTAAAGTTATTTAGACCCTCATTTCTAAGTTTCAGGGATAGTTAAAGAAACTGAGTACAGACCACATGTATGACACTAATATTAGCTGTGACTTTTTTAAAAGTTCAGTTTTCTGTTACAAGCTGTAAAAACATTTCAAAATGTTTGCGGCACCCCCTGCTGGCTATATTGTGGCACTTCCTAAATGAATATCGCATCTTTAGATACTGCTCAAAAATATTTTAGGTATATACACCATCTGTCTTGCAGTCATTTTTATTTAGAAATAATTTCATTTGTATCCAACATATAATAGAGTTGAAATTTTAGTTGAAGGCGTTTTGCTTTATAGTTTGTCATTTATATTTGAACAGTGCTTGTCCTTCGAGGCAAATAGAATAATGTATTCACTGGAGACAAATTATTTGCCATAACCTTTTTACTAATATTTCAGATGAAATTCAGTGGGGCAGAGGCATCTCCCCAAATGCTTCCATTTTCTTGCAAATAATGCCACCACGAGCATCCTTTGTACATAAATACGTGTGCATGTTTGTTATATGCTAAATTCTAACCTTGCAATATCCATAACGCTTTAAGAAGAGCACTTTGGATCTTAAAAGACATCCTCTGAGGAGATGGTGGGAATGATGGTTGTTTGGCTCACTGGTGTGATTCAAGCCCTGAGCTCTGATCGAGTTCATTAGTGACCCCTCTAAGGGCCTTTACATCTGGAAAAAGAGTAATTATTTAAGAAAAGCATAATTTTCTATTTAGTACCATATGAAGTGACAGCCATTGAATTTCAGTTTCTCAGGAACAAAATTCAAAGATGCTGAACTGAGCAAAGATCATTTCCTAAATGTCGAGTTAAGCTAAGTGTCAGAAAATTTAGTGCCATTATTTATAAACATTGAGCAAATTTTAGGCGGGCTCCAGTCCTAATTTAAAGATAAATTTACCTTCTTTAAATGAAAACATGTCTTCCTGTTATATGTATACCCTTCATTCACTATTTTAACAAGAATGTATTGAGATTACACACAGTGTTTCTACAGTGTTTTCTGTTCTTCATTTTCATGCTGTATTGTAATAGTGCTTTGCTTCTTTGTTTTCCCCATTGAGTGCTGAGTGCTCATTGGATGGATGGATGGTTGGATGGATGGATGGGTGGATGGGTGGAAGGATGGATGTTGCATATAATAGGACTGAGAATCTTAATGAATCACTCATGGCCTTTAATGTTCTTTTGATTTCTGCAATAATTGTTCACTTTTGTATATATATGTCTTTGGGTGTGTTTTTTGGTGGACTACACACACACAGATATTTTAAGTACTGTTAACTGATTTTATTTTCTAATAAAACATTATTCATTCAAATAAATGTATTCTGAATCAGTAGAAAGTCTTAATCATAGGCTGTTTAAAAAGAATTATAGCTTATTAGTCACACACTTATAAGACAGTCTTAAAAATTAATGATTGACTTTTCTAAGTCCTGTGGTTCTAAATTTCTGCAGTCTTTGTATAAGAAAGATGTATAATCTATTATACATATACATTATACATCTACAGTAATCTATTATACATCTATTATACATGCTAGAATTGTAATATTAGTATAATGGTTAATACATGTATCTATATAAGCAAATAGTGTTAATGCTTATATTTTCATAGCATTTCTCCCTAAAATACCTTTATTAATTTTCTAATTACTACTTTATGGCAATGTAAAAAGCAATCTGGTGAATTATCACAAGATCAGTATTAACAAAGATCCTAAATAAAAATCTAGGGCACTTGCATATTATACTCTAGAGCTTAAGTTAGGCTTATTTAGGAGTTATTTTAAGATATATTTTAGAGTAATAGAAAGTAGTTTTACTTCTTCCTATACCTTCTACCTGTAATTTTAGAAGTAAATTCATAGAATTTGTTTAGACCTCTTGATGACTATTGAAGTTATGAATTAGCTGATTTTAGCTTATACCTTAATTTAGCAAATGAGGAAGCTTAAGCCCAGAAAGATTAGTAGGAGAAACTTTCCAAAGTCCTGGTGCCTGAGCTATGTTTCCTGATTTAGCCACTCAGAGTTTTTCCATATTGCTTCCCATGTAGAGGATAGAGAATAAAATTATCTTATCAAATGGCCAGGAAGGGTGGTTTGCTGAATTAATTAGCTTGTAATGTCTCTGGACTATGTGTAACATTTTCATATTTCTCTTTGTTGCAGAATGCAAAGTATGGCGAAATCCACTAAATTTATTTAGGGGTGCTGAATATAATCGGTAAGCGTTTTGACAGGTTGGGAAACAAATGGGTCTAGTTCAGAGAGTAGACAGCAGCAAATGCTTTTGCTGGTTCATTTAGGGGTCATTGTAACAGTCTGGGTAGTGCTTCTATTTTTTGATACAATCCTCAAATGTTTTGATTTTTCTGTTTTATAAATATTTTTGGGATTGGAATTGGGATAACATATAAAGATGTGTAGTTTTTAGAAATTTTCTATTGCAGTTATTCATTTCATTATGCATTATACAGTCAAAATATTTTGAAGTTTACCTAGAACATGGTTATGAAGATGTCACAGGAGTTATGTTGGCATTTAATTTTGCAGAGTAATTAGGCATATCAGAATTTTCATGGCTTTTGGAAAATGTCCATGATATAATTAGGGAAAGTTTTCATTAGCTAGTGCTAGTAAAATTTTTAGACAAAAATATAGAGGAAAATGTTTACTTCTTTCCTGCTGATATACTTCCTAAAAGGAGAACAGGATGATTAAAAAATTTTTTTTCATTCATTGGCAAAGCTGTTTTAATATTCCAGTTAATGTTTTTCTAGTTCAACTCCTATGCAGCTTAATATTTTGTAGGTCTTGCTTTCTTCTCTCAAAGTGTCTGACCATCTATTTCCCCTTTACCAGGTATACTTGGGTGACAGGACGAGAGCCTTTGACTTACTATGACATGAATCTCTCTGCCCAAGACCACCAGACATTCTTTACTTGTGACTCAGACCACCTGCGTCCTGCAGATGCAAGTATGGACAATCTTTTATTATTTATTTTTATTTTTATTTTTTAAAGAGTTTATTTATTTATTTGACAGAGAGAGAAACACAGCAAGAGAGGGAACACAAGCAGGGGGAGTAGGAGAGGGAGAAGCAGGCCTCCGGCCGAGCAGGGAGCCCGATGCAGGGCTCGATCCCAGGACCCTGGGATCATGACCTGGGCCAAAGGCAGACGCTTAATGACTGAGCCACCCAGGCGCCCCTGGACAATCTTTTAGATAGTTGCTGAGTGGAATGGCTTTTTGGTTTAAGTACTTAAGGTTACCACTTTTAGAATATCTGCTCTACAAAAACCCCAATATATAAAATATTAAATTGAAGATTGACTAGTGGAACCCAGAATTCTGATACTTAAGTAGAGGATTTATCACAATGAAGTATCAATGTAGAAACAAGTCTTCTTGTTATAACTTAAAACACCCTTTAAAAAAATATACTGACATTGGATTTACATATTTTAAGGAAATATAAATTTTATATAAGGCTAATTAAATCCTTGGTTGAGGTAGGATGAAGGGTCATGTCTCTTTGATGATATTATAATTAGAAATTGGGATTCAGTGAATCCAAATGATAAATGAATATGTTGTAGTGATTTGTATGCCTATTTACAGGTTCACTATCACTGAATGGGGGCATGGCTTTAGCTATTAGAATCCATATTTGTTCTCCATCCTAGTAAAGGCTTTGTTTGGCATGCATTTCACATTGTTTGAGGTCCAAATAATTCCACTGATATTGTTTATATTACCAAACTTAAATAGGTGAAAAAAATCTTTAAAAAGGGGAATATGTACATGCACCTAAGAAACTTAGAATATACGTATTTATAAAACAAATATGGAGATGGTTGCTCTTTTTTAAAAGGTACTCCTTGCCATGGTGGAACATAAATATTCCAGGCATTGAGCTTTCTACAATATATATAAAAACTGCTCTGGTATATAAAAACTGTGTTTGCAGCAAACTTTGGGAACAGATAGACATGTTAAGTAAAAGACTAAAGCACTTTTTTTTTTTCTGATCCAACTCCTAATTCTTCAAATGGTTTTAAAATGTCCTAATACCCAGAGCCTGTAGAGTTCGAGAAAATGATCAATAGAAATTATGTTGTGTCTAAGTAGAAGGAAGAGATTAGTAGTAATCTCATCTCAAAAGGGGTAAAATAATATATGTTTCTTAACAACAAATGACACTAATGAGCAAAAGAAATATTAAATCTCTTTTAGAATGTCTTATCCTTTCTTAAGAAACCTTAGTATGGTGAACATAGCATAACATGTAGACTTGGAGAATCACCATGTTATACACTTGAAACTCCTGTAACATTGTATGTCAACTAATACTTCAGTAAAAAAAAAAAGAAATCTTGATCAAGATTAAGTCTCTAAAATTATAGACCACATCTATAAGATTTAGATCTGTAATTTTATGAGCTCAAGAAAGGTTTTATATCATCTACTGAAGGACAGTGGAATAGCAAATTAGAATATTTGTGTGACTTTGGAGATTTGGGCTGACTTTTTTGGTAAGTGAAATACTGTCTTGTATTCAAGCTGAAAGCTATTAATTTAACTATTGTCCCGTGTTGAGTCTTCCAAATTATGTATATTGATGGACTTGCTTTTTTCTCTTTTTCTAAAATAGTAATGCAGAAAGCCTGGAGAGAAAGAAACCCCCAAGCTAGAATTTCTGCAGCTCATGAAGCCTTAGAGATAAACGAGTAAGTGGGGGAAAATCTTGCTTTTAAAAAGGAAATCTCATCCTTTGATGAATGTATTCAGTTGCCACTAATAGAATACTTAAGTTAAATTATGCATTTGAACTTGAGGATTGTTTTGGGAGTTATTAATTTGTCAAAAAATTTTTTTGTGAAGGACATCCATGTGATGGTGGTTTTAGTCATCTTAGAGAGCAATTCGGTGGTTTTGCTATGACCCTAAATTAAATAGCTTCCAAGGGCTATTCCAAGGCCTCCAAGCCCTTTAAGGACTACCTGTGGGATATTGTAAGGGCATAAAATAAATACAGTTCTTTATGTATCTAAAACATTGACAGGGAGATTTTTTTCAGATGTAGAATGCTCATCTGTCTAGAACTAATGATGTAATGTATGGGGATTAACATAAGAATAAAAAAAAAAAAAGAATGCTCATCTGTGCCATCACATTTTTTAGGTAGAGCTTCTGCTAGTGGGGAAAAGAGAACAAAAACATAAGGTGAAAAAAATTGCACTTTAAAAGTATTTCAAGATCAAGACAAAGATAAGACGCAATGCTGTCGTTAGTGTTGTCAAACATGCTGTGGGTTACCAAGGAAGGCTGGGAAATATCTTCTGGAGATCTCAGAAAATGGGAAAGATTCTTAAAATTGGAGTCATAAAATCTCAGGGTTGGCAGAGGCCTTAAAGGTCATTTAGCTCAACCACCCATCTGGTGTTTGAATCACCTCGACACTCTCCCTGCCAAGTGGTCATTGTTAAACTATTTTATGATTTTTTTGAAGAAGGTTACAGAATCTTCATCAGAGGTCTTAGGAAAAAAGATTTACTTGAGAGTTGGAAATCCTGCCATTGTAACCTGTTGATCTATTTGGTTTCTGATTCTGTCATACAACATATTTATTTTCTAGTTTCTTGTCATCTACAAATTTGATATGCCTGCCTTCTGTGTGTCATCCATGTTTCTGATAAAAATGTCAGGATCAGGGACAGAACTCTGTGACATGACATATACAGACTATCCTCCAGGTTCATGTCTTCATGACTCATCATCCTTTGGTGTTGTTCAACCAATTACTAAGCCACCCAAGTTACACTGTGACTCAGCTCATATTTCTGCATTTTGATCTTAAGAATGCCAGTTGTAGCTATGGATCTTTATTGTGTAGTAAATTCTTTAAAGTAAATTAAGCTAGCACAACCTGATTTATTTATTCTTAGTGAATTAAAGCTAGCTTCTAGTGTTCACTACTTTCTTTTAAAAGTGCTTGGAGACCATCCCTTTAATAATCCATTAGAATATCTTTACAAGTCATTGTTCTGTAGTTTGGGAAGTCTGCCTTCTTCCCTTTTTGAACATTTTTACTGCATTTGTCATCTCATCTTCTAGCACCTGTCCATTCTTTGTGATTCCTTAACTATCCACAAAGAGCACTTCCCTTCCTATGGGGTCTGTTGGCTTCCTGGGATTTGCCCATCCCAGTACAGTAATTCATTTAGAATAGTTCAGTTATTTGCTATCTTACATCTTTTTACCCATGTTAGAGTTTAATTTCTTCTCCCTTTTTCAGACCGACAATCATGCTCCTTGATAGAGAAACCAGGAAAAAAATAGGAGTTACAGAGTTTTGCTTTCTCTTTATTATCTGCTGCTACTAACTACAAACTTGTCTTGTTTTCATGTGGTTGTTGTGTTGTTTGTCTTTTTTGCTTATTTATTTTTGCGATGGTTATAGAGAAATGGGGGTGGTAATAGGGCTTTAAAAGTAATTTAAAAACAGGGAATAGATGGTTGTCTTTAGCATTTTGTTGTGTCTTTATTTTGCTTTGTAAGCTTAAGCTAATTCGGAATTTTAGCTCTCCTGACATTATTCTTATTAGCTCATTCCACTCTCTTGTAGTCCTTCATTACATGCCCTCTTTCCATCTTTTTTTACATGTCCTTTAAGAATCTGACCTTGTGAGAGATCTCTGTGCAGCCATATTGGTTACTTGTCACTGCTCTTTTCTTCCTGAGAGGCTCATTTGTGACTATGGTCATAGTTGGACATTTGGAAGCTGCCCGACCCTCTTAAACCATTTTTTTCCTTCAGAGTCTCATGCCATTGAATCATACCTCTTTTCTTTGAAGTTTTTGAAGTCCACATTACCCTCTCTGATTATCCTGAATCCAAAATGACATAGTAACTCTCTCTGAATGTTCCTATCAATTTTCATTTCACCAACTATTTTTTTCTTCTTGGTCAGAATTAGGTCCAGAGTTGAAGTTCCCCTAATTGCTTCCTCTACCATCTGGGAGATAAAATTGTTACCAAAGTAAGTCAAGAACCTGTTGGGTGCCCTACTTCTAACCAAATGAGACTTCTTCTAGCAGATATCTGGATGGTTGACACCCCCATCACCATACTTTCTTGCTTCTGTCTGTGTATTGTGTTGTGACAAGGATGCATCATCTATATCTTCCATCGAGCTGAGCCGTCGTTCTGTACTCCCCAACCATTAGCACTTCTATTGCTCTTTCTCCTTCACTCACAAGCTCTTAGCATGTTTCTACCCCAGACTCATGACTTTCCACATAGATACATGTTTTCTTGGCTAGTAGTGCTACTCTGCCTCTCCTCCTAAGAATACTATTTGAAATATAAAGAAAGAAAGCACGTAACTTGCCCCCACCTGTCTTGAATTCCCAGCCCAGCAACTATAATCTTATAACTAATTCCTCTGATACTATATCCACCACTCAGTATTATAATCTCAGTTTTCACTTCATTACCCTTGACCCATATTTATATGTCAGCATCTGAAGCCTTAAGTAGCGCTTCCTGATGCCTGTCCCAGTTATTTTCTCTAGTGAATCGCTGGGCAGTTTCAGCATCATTATTGTTCTTTCTAAGTCCTATATCTGCTGCCCTCCATAGTTAATTGGTTTTACAGCACTTTTCTGGGCATTTTTTCCCCCTACTGCCCCACATTGTGTTTAAAGCCCCATTGATCAGTCCTGCATGAAATTAGAGGGACTGACCAAAGAATTGACAAGACTCCTCTTCAAGGCTAAGATTAACTAGTCACCCCAAACCTCCCATTGGCTATAAGTTCAGCCTCATTTTCCTAGCTGGGCTGTTGCAGTTTATGAATGGTAAAAGTAACATTTGGTTTCACTTTCTGTTTATTTTCTCTCTTGTGGTCTGATGGAGGTTCTGACAAGTAGGGCAATGACCACAAGAGAGGCAGTGGGGAAGAAGGAAAGCAGAGGGATCTATGCAGATTGGGACCTGTATGGTCGACTCCGGCCTCACTGTTTCCTATCACATTCCCTTTCTTTGGCAGTCGGGTTGTTCTGGTATGATGGGGAAGGTTGAAATTTCCAAGGGTTCCCCTTGTTTGTTAGTTAACTGCTTATCCTTTCCAGCTTCCTAGCTTAGAGGTTGTTGAAAGGATTAAATGAGACGATATATGTTAAGTGCCTGGTACAGTGCTTACTATATACTGAGCAACAGGTGGTGGTAGCTATTACTGTTAAAGGTGTGAGATTGAACTCTTGTTCGCTGCTGAGTCTGAATCAGATTTTGAGCTCTTCAGAAATAACACTACCTGTAGGTTCTTCTAGTGTTCTTCTCTGACCCAGAAAATCAGTGCTGACTGTAATGAAATGTCAAAGCGCTGTTTTTCTTAATGAGTAATTGATCCGATTTAATGAACTTCTGATTCTGAAGAAATCCTTAGATTCCAGAGAATCCGTGTTTAGTGACTAGAAGGAAACTTGTCTGTAGGATCTCTAACTTGGAGAGCTGGAAGGAGATCTTTCCCAACAGCTCTTGTCATTGCCGTTGTCGGTTAACACTGACTGAGTATGTACCCCATGCCGGCTACTGTACTGAGCACTTCTCATGCATCACCTTACTTAACCTTCGCAACAACACTGTGAACAAATCGATTTCATGATGTGCTCCATCAGGGAGGCAGAGTAATAACTTGCCCAAAGTGACACACTAATAAGGGGCAGAGTCCATTTGTGAGCCCCATGTTCCTAACACTACACATCCTACCTTTCAAGCTAAAATATAGGCATTTCTTTTGTGTCATTATTTTGTGTCAACAACTACAAACCAGGGGTGCATGAACCAGTTGGCCACTCTGCATGTTTCGGCATAACTCCTTGCCCTTCTGCATGCACTCCTCCAGCTGTGACAATGTCCTTGGATTTGTAATTGATGGTGGCTATTATCTGAATGGACAGGTGTGCGACTGCTTATATTCTCTTGGCTGAAGAGGAAGCAACAACAATTGCGGAAGCAGAAAAGCTGTTCAAGCAGGCCCTGAAGGCTGGAGACGGCTGTTACCGGCGTTCTCAGCAGCTACAGCATCATGGATCCCAGTATGAAGCCCAACATAGTAAGGTTTTCTCTAGGCTGACGTGTTGGGGGTCAGAACTGTAGCATGATTAATCAGAACAAATGTTCAGGCCAGTTCAAAATATGATTCTCAGAGATGAAAATAAAGACTAGTTTTTGCCTTTCTATTATTTTTTTCCCTTCCCATAAGAGTACAGTATATAATTAACTATAGCTTCATTACTGTTCACATTCATTTTCAGATTCTTTCCTAATCTTTAGATCCTTAACTCTAGAAATAAATGGTAATAACCTTTAATGGTAACCTTTTTTTCTCCTCAGAATTCTTATATATTTCCGTTTATTAGTTGTTTCTCTGCCCCATAACCTAAGGCCTATTTGGGAAACAGGACTTAAATTTATGTTAATGTAATCAGAGGTTTTCTCTTACAAGTCTTCTACAGCATGGGTTGAAATAGGACAACTAAGAATATCACAGTTATTGGTGATTATCTCAGTATTTAGCTCATTGGTATTGGCTTCCAGAGATAAAAAGCCATGAGTTCGTAATTATTTATCTTTTTTATATTAAAAATAGTGGCTGCTTTTATTTAAGATAACTCTTTAAAATGAGGCCTTTCACTTTAGTACACTAAACAGAGGGTCAGTGATATTTTGGGGGAATGGTATAAAAACAAGACAAAAAAATTGTTTCTGGAATTCCTGGAGCTGCTGACTTGTCAGTTTTTTGGTTGTTTAAGTAGAAATTTAATAGTCCTTTCATCGTCCATTCAGACTTTAGGTTGTTTCCTTAAAGTGGAATTTCTCACCTCATTTTCCCCTCCTGCATCTTGGAGAGTAGGATTGCATCTCCTTCATATTGAGATTATAAAATTAAATTTTAGTGTTAAACTTGGATTTGGTGCAGAGAATGAGTGCATTAGTCCTTATAACTAAGGTACAGCAAGATCTTTGATCTTTGTGTGTATACATGAGTATGTCCACACAACACAATAATACATGAGTTTTTATTTGCATTCTGCAGTATGTATGTTAATCAAGTCTTGAATTGCATATCTATTGCTTTTTAAAAAAATTATAACAATGAATTTTGAAGGCATTTGTATAGTAAGGTCTATTTGGTGAACTAAATGAGAAATAACACATAAAATTACATTACCTATAATATAACTTAAGAAATTTTCTTTATTTCTTTTCTTCTGTAAATTAAATCCTTTCAACCTGTTGCCTAAATCTATCCAAAAAATATAATCACATCTTTAAAATAATTTGTAGGCACTTGGCAGATTTTCAGCACACATCTTGTTCTCATTGTTTAAAACTTGAAATGTTAGGACTTTGGTCTTAACATCTTTTAATAGCTGCATATTATACATGTACTTAATCTATAACAGGTGTGTCATATTTTTCTAAAACATGGTAATTTTATTGAGGATTAAATGCATGCATGTTCTCACTGGTCTAGAAACATATCCAAAATGACATATAATTAAATAAAAGATTAAGATGAGAAGTTGTTAATGTACTTTTTAAGAGCCGTTTTAGTGACTATTATTATAACTAGTTAGCTTGTCAGTGCTTTCTCTAACACTAGGGTAGTTTTCATTTTGTTGCGTACTCTATTGTCATATCTGGAATGTGTTATATTGCCATCTAAAATAGACTGCTTTGGGGACCTGGAGATGATTATGATGTCACTAGTTTTAGGGAAAGAATAATATAAAACAGAAGTTCAAGATGAGGCTTCTCCAGACTTAATGTCAAGAAGGAAAAAAAATAGTTCATCAGGATGCAACCTGAGATTCACCTCTTTGCATCTCTACCAAAAGCATGCAGACTTGAAGAATATGGAATTCTTGCTTGTAAACCACATTCAATGTGGGTATGTTCATTTTCCCAGCACTTTGTGGCAGATGATTTTATTTATCAAATAACTCAACATTCTAACTCAAAAGCATGGATTAGGTAATCAGTCACATGATTTGACCTTTGGAAATCTAAGTATTTTGACTACACTGTATGCATTTTACTATTAGCAAAGTTGTCAGTGCGCCTGGCAGTAAGAAAAAGCCAAAGGAGCGCTCTGTTCTCTCTGAGGTTTTCCTTTAAGGGCATGGCAAATGGGCCTCTGTATTTTTTTCTTGCTGCTCAGCTGAAAGCTTTTGTATTTTTAAATTTTGGTATTTTATATTTCCTTCTTCAGGACGAGATACTAATGTCTTGGTCTACATCAAAAGAAGGCTAGCAATGTGTGCCAGAAGACTCGGGAGGACCAGGGAAGCAGTGAAAATGATGAGAGATGTGAGTTTGAATTTGTGTTTGGGAACAGGAGCAATGTACCTGACGTCGAGAAGGAGGAGCCAACTGCATGGCCATAGCAGAGAGCGCCGGTGATGGTGCGGTGGTCCCATGGGTGCTGGAGCCGGCCAGTCTGGGCTTCAGCTCTAGCTCCCAGTGTGCTGGATGAGTGATCTTGGGCAAGTGACTCAACGGCTCTGGGCCTGCTTCCTCATCTATAAAATGGGAATAGATAACAAGAACTTTAACAATATTAATAACAAAAGCAATTACTGCTTAGGATTGTTGTGAAGATTAAATGAGCTAATACATGGAAAGCTGTCCATAGAGCGGCTGGCATATTAAGGAAATTCCAATACATGACCTTATTATTAAACCTCTGGAGCTGTAGCCAGAAGCCAAGAATGAGATCAGCCATTTTAGCTGACTTTTTTTGTGCGTATTGGTGTTAGGAAGATTTGAATAAACTGGGTCTAATTGCTACTCTCAAATGTAATAATAGTATGATCTAATCTGATTGAAGTCATTTCAAGCATTTTCCTAGATTCTTGAATCAGGATATTTTATTAGTAGTAGTCAACACAAGAAGAGAGGAAATAGGTAAGAGTTTTAAAAGGAAAGAGAACCAAGAGAGATGATTATTCAGTAATCAAAACAGTAGTTTTAGGGAAACCAGTAGAGGAACTTTTACTTCCACATTTTTTAAAATAAGAAATACTTTTTCATAAAGAAACTGACACCAGTAGAAATTGTATTTATAAACCATTTTCTTTTTAAAAACAATTTCAAAAGACTTTTGCCAATATTTCAGGCCTCTGCTGTCTTCCTGAAGTCAGGAGACAACAGGTAACCACCCCTTATAAAAATGAAAGAACCAAGGGTCAAGATAAGAGTGGTGTCTTGCCCAATTCTCAGCTTTTGGGTTTGAGAACAGGACTGTGTAAACCTAGTGAGCCTTTTGTTGGTTTATCTTTGGAAGGGCAGTTATTCATACAAATCCCCAGTTACGCTGGCATGGGGGGGTGTTGCGGCTGCACTTCAGCCCCACCCCTAGTTATTTCTGTAAGTTGCAGCATAATGGGGAGGTCCGAGTGAGATCCGCGCCTGGGTTAGGCTCCTCCATTAAGCAGCAGGATAGCCCCCAGACCTGACGAGAGGAATGAGAGGAGGGGGATTCCAAGGTAATTCTGTTTGACTACAGGTGATAGATGCTCAATGGGCAAAGCTACTGCAAAGGGGATGTCCCAGGAGTAAATTCTTCTGGTTGAGGGAAGAATTGAAAGAATGCTTGTTTTACAGTATAAGTGCTAATTTTTATAAAAGGAGAGTTCTGTAGAGACATGAACTTGCTCTCAAAGCTTTTTAAGTTGCGGAAATTCCATCTTTTGATCTAGTGAAGAAACTCTACCAGTCAGTCCCTTTGTCTCTAAAGGAGCTGAGAATTTTATGAAGGATGGGGGTATTTATCTTTTTTTTTTTTAA